CTTAAAACCCAAGATCCCAAGAGGAGAATGGAGGAGAAGGGATTGCTGCGTGGCCACCCCCCCCCCCCACCGGTGGTGATTTCTCGCTTTCTGTCTCTATGTCTCTCTCTGTCTGTCTGGCGAGCGCATGCGCCCTATAGCGAAAACCTCTCCAAAAAAAAAAAAAGACATGACTTCACTGAAGGGGGTGAAGACAAAAGCAATTTTGGAAAAAAAGTGTTTTGAATGAATATTGTAAAGCTAAAGGCAAAAGGGACTGTGTAATAACTCTGTGTTCTGGTTGGTAAGTTTCTTTTTCACAAGGGTACCTGATCAGTAATTCTGAAAATATTTTACATGTATCTATGATTAAACAAATAATTAAATGATAGATAATATTAGACATGTTTCTTACTCTAAGAAAGAAGTTATAAATAATCAGGGGAAAGAAGAGTGAAAATTAGAATAACTCAGTGGTTTCTATCAGTCTCTCTTGTGAGTGCATTGTATATACTATATAATATATATATAGTATAGGTATATAGTCACAGAAATAGATAAATATGCATAGAGAACCAGCCTGTGGCCTGGTGGTTCAGGGATCTGGATCCTACCAGACTAACCATGCAGCTCAAATCCTGGACTCAATGACTTGAATGACACACCAGGCACTCATGCTTGCATACCCAAACTCCCGGATGGAGAAATAGAGGAGAAAGGATTGTGGCGTGACCATTTCCCATTGGGGGATGGGGACAGCCTCTTGCTTCCTTTCTCTTTACCTGTCTTTCTATCTCTGGCAAATGTTTGTGCTCTCTGGTGAATTTTTATTTTATTTTATTTTTTTGGCTATAGGGCACGTGCGCTCGCCAGACAGAGAGAGACAGAGAGACAGAAAGCTAGAAATCACCACCCCCCCCAGGGGGGATGGCCACGCTGCAATCCCTTCTCCTCCATTCTCCTCTGGGGATCTAGGGCACGCACGTACACACGCCCGGAGTGAGTTTTAAGCCACCGGGTCTGGGACTTGAACTGCGGTCGACTACATGGGAGTCCAGCGACATAGCCATTACGCTAACTGCTGGTCCCACTGGTGAATTTTATAAAGTAGAATATATATGCATATATGAGTTAGTACACAACATACATTTATTAGCTCTGTCCACTGAGAGGTCTTACAAGAGATGATTTATCAGTAGCAGTGAGCACACCTAACATCTAGATCCTGGCTTCTTCTTCATTTTTTTTAAACAATTATTTTATTTAACTTTATTTCTTTACTTATTTTTATTTGACCAGAGAAAGACTCAGTGAAGAGAAGGATGGAGAGGGGAAAAATGAGAAAGCAAGCCACCAGGTCCAGGACTCAAACAGCACTCTGTCAGTCCAGTGCCCTTAAAACCATGCCACCTGCCAGCCCCTGGATCCTGATTTCTAAATACCATTTTTCAATTAAAGAAGTAAGTGTCTGATTCTAGGACTGGGCAGAAATAATACAAGAGAAACACAAAGAATACGCTAGTGTCAGAAAACACAAAAGGATGGGGAGGGGTATATCAAAAGAACACAAGAACCAATGGCCAAAGCTGGACTAATTTAAGCAGCATAAATAGCAATATTGTTGAGAGTAAAATTAATATCCAGGAGTACATATGTGCATAAATAGATGATGAAAAAAAAAAAGCAGAAGAGAATGGAAAAATTTAGATGTCTTAGATGTCTGAGGAATGAAGCAAATAGAAAATCATCATTAGAAAAGGATAATAATAGTTGCTGCAAGCAAGATTTGTTGATGAATGCTAAAATTAGTGGGTGAAAGTTTAAGGAGAAACAGAATATTTGCTGAGCTTCAAGGGATTCCTTGCCCAAATTTACCAAGTATATGGTAGTATTCATATAGTAGCACAAATTTCTTACTATTTCTTTCTCTAGCATGAAGAGTTTAAATACTTTTTCCTTGATTATGGACTGGACCTAGCGATCAGCTTCTAATGAACAGAGTGTAAAGGAGGAATTGAACAGTAAGTTTACAGGGGAGAAACCTGGAAACACCGTTTAACGAAGTTCTCAAGGTTCATATCATCAGTAATTAATTACACTGATATCATTTGCTCCCTGAAATGATGTGACGAGAAGGGCAATCAATTCTGTGATATTCTTTCTCAAGACTCATAACCCCAGTCTACCCATGAGAAAACATATAAACCAAAATTGAAGGATATTTTACAACATACCTGACCACTTTGCTTCAAAAAGTGTCAAGTTTAGGAAAGATAAGGAAAGACTGAGAAACTGTCATCGATTAGAGAAGATTAGGAAGACATAGCATGTATTGCATGTATTGTCAATTTCATCATCATAGTGTCACAGGTATATTAGAAGACAACTATTACTGGAAAAAAATAAAAACCAAATAAAGTTTATACTTTAGTTAATTGTATGGTACCAAGGTCAATTTCATGTTCACTCTCTTAAGTGAATAATGGTTATGATAAATGATAAGTTTGGAGGGAGACAGAGTATACAGGGATACTCTGAAGTGTGTTTTCAGTGATTATATAAATCTAAACCTATTTCAGAATTAAAATGTTAAAAAAAAAAAAGAAGACATGGACATGACTCTTGTATTTTCCTTCCCTTAGAAGTGAAACTCAGGTGGGACCAGCAGTTGGCGTAATGACTATGTCACTGGACTCCCATGTAGTTGACCGCGGTTCGCGTCCCGGACACGGTGGCTTAAAACTCACACCAGGCGTATGTGCGTGCGTGCCCGAGATCCCAAGAGAAGAATGGAGGAGAAGGGATTGCAGCGTGGTCATCCCCCCTGGGAGGTGATTTCTCGCTTTCTGTCTCTCTGTCTCTGTCTGTCTGGCGAGCGCACACGCCCTATTGCAAAAACCTCTCCAAAAAAAAAAAGAAGTGAAACTCAAATAAACTTAAAGAAGCAGCCATAGAGGACAATTTAGTATTTGAATAAAGTAGCCTCGATGTCAATAACTTTCAAACTTTGTTAACCTTGTGTTTGCTATTTCGTTTCCTGTGAATAGTACCTTTGGTGGAAGAACTGAGACTTTGGAGGGAATATACAGGCTGTTAACTCCTATCCCCCTTCTTTTACCTTCAGTACATAATTTCCATACCTTTTTTTACATCAAAGATGGCGACATTGGGACACTTATGCTCCATTTGGGTTTGAGCCTCTTGACTTTGCTTTATTTTCCTAGATTTATGAGTTTGCATATTTATCCAGGTCTGCCCTTCTATCAAGTGGCCTTTACAGATAAGTTATCACAAATATAGGTTTGATCTGTGTTGACATTACATTCTATGTTATAGTAAAGTGAGGAAAGACAAATATGGTCTAGGAAAGGAAAGGCTGTAATGGATTATGTTCACACCAACAACCCAGTCTTGAGAATTGCAACTAAGAAACCAAGACAGACCTTCACTGGTCATATCTTTACATCCATCCAAACCTAAGACAGTCAGACTAAGATAATTCCCTCTCATGCTAATTTGAACTTTTTTTTTTTTTTTTTTGAGAGATTTTCACTGTAGGGCGCGTGCGCTCGCCAGACAGACAGAGAGAGACATAGAGACAGAAAGTGAGAAATCACCCCCCAGGGGGGATGGTCACGCCGCAATCCCTTCTCCTCCATTCTCCTCTTGGGATCTTGGGCACGCACGCACACGCGCCTGGCGTGAGTTTTAAGCCACCGGGTCCGGGACACGAACCTCGGTCGACTACGTGGGAGTCCAGCGACATAGCCATTATGCTAACTGCTGGTTCCCCTAATTTGAACTTTTGAACTAAAAAATGCAGAGATGTAAGTGAGGGAAAGGGTCGTAACTTCTTCCCTGAAGGGACCCAGAGTTGTCTTGATTCTGCTATCTGTGAAGCTGGGATACTGACTGTATTAGTTTTCTGTTCCTGCTGTAACAGGTCACCAACTGATACACATAGTCTCCAACTGAGTGCCTTAGATCCATGGAAATATATTCTTTCATAGTTAGAGTCGGCATTCAAAAATCAAGATGTGGGCAGGCCTGGATTAGTATAGAGGCTGGGAGTGGGGATAGAGGTTGTTCCTTATCTCTCCTAGCTTCTTTGATTTATAGCAATGTCATTTCCACTTCTGCCTTTGTCTTCATATCATCTTCTTTCTTCTTTCTCTTTCTTTTTTTAGAGAAATTTTTTGCTATAAGGTGTGTGCACTTCCTGGAGAGAGAGAAACAGAAACAGAAAGCAATCAATCGCCGCACCCCCCCCCAACCTGAGGGGGGCGTTGGCCATAGTGTAATCCCTTCTCTTATATTCTCCTCTAGGGATTTTGGGCACACATGTACACACACACAGTGCGAGTTTTAAGCTGCGAGGACTCAAGCTGCAGTTGACTACGTGGGAGTCCAGCAATGTAATCATTTTACCATCGGCTGGTTCCCAAATCTTCTTCTATTGTGTCTGTCCACTCTGTGTATCCAAAGACACTTATTGTTAGATCTAGGGCCCACCTGGATTATCCACTATGATCCCCTCATCTCAAAATCCATAAGTTTATTACATTTACAAAGACCTTTTTTTATACATAAGGTAACATTTACAGGCTTAGGGATTATGATATGATCATATCCCCTGTGTAGCCATCATTTAACTCCATCAACACACCACTCTTCCAATTAGTGTTTTTCCTTTTAAGTAGCACTAGTTCCTATTACTTATTACTTGCAACCAAAATATTTGCATAGTTTGGTTTTCAATGCTCATGGCAGCAGCTGGAAGTAGCTTATACATCTATTTACTAAGCCTGGCTTAGAATCTCCAACTTTAGTGTAACAAGAATAATTTTGGAACTTGTTAAAAATGCAGGTTTCTGCCCTCATTCCTCAAATTTTTCAACAAATTGGTTCTGGAATCTGCACTTTTAACAACTACCAGATGTTCTGGTGATAAAAGAACAGAGAAATTGTGAAAGCTCAAAACCATTAAAGTTTCATTCAAATAAAAGCAGGAGGAAAAGCAATGAAAAATAATTTGAAAACTTTAATGATGTTAATATAGTAAAACAATAAAATCTTTTAAATAAGGTACATTCAATTTCTCAGAGCATCTAGTATTCAGATAATTTATACTTCATACATTTCCAACATTAAAACAATTGACTAAATAATGCATTTTATATAAAATGTTATTACAGCTTATACAGATAAAATTATATTATAAAAACACGCCACACAGGAATAATGGCAGTACCTATAAGAAAAATCCTACAAACTTTCCATTAAAAAATATATTTTATCTCTTTCATTTGTCATAATAATAAACAGAACATATTTTTCGTCTTTCTAAAATTAAGTCTTACACCATTTCCCTTAAGAATGATAATATGTACAAATCTTATATCTGAATGAATATAAATAGCAATACTGTAATAGTGTTACAGATATATTAGTAACTTTTACAGAAAAAATACATGGCTTTCTAATAAAAGCCTCTAGCACAGCTGACATATCAAAGCTATTTAAGTTAGACATTCCCATATTTAGTAAGGCACAATGATGTCTAGTTTGTATTATTATTGTTGTTGTTATTTCCAGTTGAATTACTGCAAGCAGTAACAGGGAAAATATAATCAGTAGATACTAGACCAGATATGACAGTTGGATAAACTATTTGGAATTTATCAAACTTTTGGGGAGATGTTCTTTCTCCACATCATACTTTCTTTTAGTGCACTGTGGCAAAATTAGTCATTGATGATGAGAGAGAATTTACTACCCCCCCTCAAGTGCCTGAGAAACAGTTTACTCCTCCATCGGATCTGGTCCATTGTGAGGAAATAGCTCAATGACCCTTTCCAGTTATAAGCAGCTTATTTTTACTGATTGCACTTGGTTTCCTATCATTTCTAAAAATAGTTTCTGATATAATCTGTACATTGTGAAGCTGTGAAGGAACCTGATGGTCTTCTTCAGACTCTGAGTGACAGTTTTGGGGAAGTGATAGGTTTTCAAGTGCTTTAGCGAATGCATTAAGCCCTTCAAGGTGTCTTGGTCACCATTTTTTATTCTCCACAGGCTGAGCAGCTTCGGGATCTGCTCATTTGATTTGCATGCCTTCATTGTCTTTTCAATATCTTCTGTTCCCACTTTCTTTCCTGGTAAGCTTTCCATCAAGCTGAGTAGCTGCTCAAAGCTGAGGTTTGTATGCCCGATGTGCCGCTGCACGCTGTTTTCACAGAGGTCAATATCTGCATAAAGCAAGAGCCCAAAGAGATGTTCACATCATTTATATTCATCTAATGCCATCCTAAAACCAGCCTGAGGCAGAGAGTTTTCTCAGAATGTTATAACTTTATTTTAAAGATAATCTTTTCCTTTCTATTATTTTTGGAGGAGGGGTGCTTAAGAGACACTTGTTTTTCTGAGAACTGAGACAAATATTATTTTGTGTTGTGTTAAAATAGGGTAATATGTGTTCTAGGCATCCAACAAAGCTTTGTGAGAAGCCCCTAATTTTGATAATTAACAGTAGAAAATTACAGACACATCAAACTGTTTTCTAAAAAAAGCTTGAGAAATTAAAGCCATAACATTTTGTAAAATTAAAATATTCACATTAGCTACTTTGTAACATGAACTTATATCAGTTGAAATCTGACAGGGACACTGATAAACTATTGGATCATTGGGAAAGTCATGACAGATTTTTATATAGAAAAACAGAAAAATAAGTCATGACTTTCCCAACAACCTAATAGTTTCTTTAACTGATCTTTAAAAATTCCTGTACCAGAGTATAACCAACATTAGGGGGTATCTGAAAACCCACTAATATGAGGTCAAGGATGCATATAACCTGGAGAATATTTCAGTAATAAGCTAGGGCATTAACTAAAAGAAAGTGACTAGATTTCTATTAATGACATAAATTGTTTGGTATCTATAATCCCTCAGGCAAGTCAGTTCATCTTTCTGAGCTGAAATGTACTCATTTATAATAAGTAGAGAATCTGGTCCCTTCCAATTCTGAGTCTTTGGTACTTTATTTCCCTTTCTTTTTGCTTCAAGGCTAATTATATGTTCAAAGGATAATTTTGGTTTGCTGAAAACAGAAGAAAGCAAAGTTTACTCTTTGCATGATTCAACTGTCAAAGATGTTTGTTTCCCAAAATATATTCCCTCAGTTTTAGATATTTGATGTTTTTTAGGGTAACATAGGACTACTCAGTCATTTAAGTACTGATGGAAGAAAAGAATGCATTTCTCATTCATACTGTCTGCATTATGAAGACCTTTCTTCATTTTTTCTGGCATGTCCCCCCAATCTAAGTTAAAGTCAAAACTGTTTCCACTGCACATACTAGAGCTTACAGTTCACACTGGAGAAAGCTCATTCCTTCTGGATTATTTCCTAGAATGTGTACACATCCACACATATGCACCCTCTCTTTCTCTGTCTCTCTCTTTCACTCTTTCTTTATATATATATTATTTTCATCTAATCACTATACATCTTTACAGCATACAATATGGCTTCTCTCAGAATGAATACAGTGCATATCAGTCAAGACAAAGATATTACCATATACATTATCATCAGCAAATAACTTTTCATTTTGTGTCAATTAAATGTGTGCATGTATAATTTTTAATATATACACATATATGTACATATATATGTATATATACATGTATGTGTGTATATATGTGTGTGTGCATATATATATGTATATATATATAAAATTTCCCTGTTCCTCTTCCTCCCCCTATTCACCACTTCTTTTTCATTTCTTCTGAAAAAGAGAAGGGTAGGCCAGAGAGAGAGAGAGAGAGAGAGAAAGGAACCCTCAATGGGATCTTCACATTGCAATCCATCCCCAGTTTCAGCCAGTCAGGATCCTGGGCACATGCATGCCTGGCATAAACCTTAGACCTTCCCATGTGACCTAAGTATTGCATTACTGCTATGCCACCATGGCTGACCACTCTCACCATGTGTAAAGGAGATTCTTCATAAATTTCTAAAATAAGAGAGTATTTGGCTTTTAACTAACCCTTTCCTCCAAGAAGATCAAACACTTTTCAGATCTTCCCTCATTAATCTTCACAACATATTCTGTGAAAATGGCAATTTTAATATAGGCTATATTGTGAGTATTAATGAGAGTATACCTGTAAGACACTTAGAGCCTCTCTGAGAGGCATACCAAATGCAGCCTAATTTCTTGGTAGAAATGTAAGGTACAATTCAAAGTAGTGAAAGAATTTCTAGATAGTCCAGAATTAATGCTAATAAAAGAACTAAGGTTTCTTGATTCCTGGAGATCTAGCCACATTCAAAATGAGTATGAATATGTTAATGTCCTAGATTTAATAATTTAATAATTACAGACTGCATGAAGGCTTTGAAAAACCACAGTGTAACACACAAAGATATACAACAATGTAAGTTAGGAAGTATAAAATAAAACAAAGGATTTGGGAGAGGAGCATGGGTAAGAAAAAACTCTCACATAACTGCTTTAGGAATAGCATCTACACTACTAGTTGGTGAAAACTTTTTCAGTCCAACAATAAGTCCAAGAAAGACCATCATCCACCCAATGAAATGTTCATATAGTCTTGTTCCCGTTCTGTGATAAATGGGTGTTTTTATTTTTGAATGACCTTCTTACTTCAGATGACCATACCTTGGATGATCTTCTTGACCATATCATGGTCTTTGTTTTGATGTTTCCATAACTTCAGCAGCTGGAAAGTTTGCTCTTGTGAGCTGTGTCGTCGCTTTATCCTCTCCACACTTTCTGCATTGACTTTGGTGCCAGGCAAATTGTCCACCAGGACACCAAGCCAATTAGGTGTAAACTTTGTAGGAACAGCAAATCTGAAGAATGCCTCCTCACACAGGGTGACATCTAAAGGAAGGTGAGAAAACCAGGAAGATTTACTCAACGTCGGATTCCTGGCAATTTTTTAGAAAATAAAAACAAAAACAAAAAACCAACAGAACTGAATTTTCCAAGATACAATATGCTAAAGTTCAAAATTTGAATCAAAGAAATCTGGTGGCTGGTCTTGGTTGCAGAGGCCAACATGGTTTATATACTTTCTAATGCTCTTTTCTAATACATGCTTTTAATGAATGTGTGTGCAGGGGCGGGGGGAAGGAGATTCATAAGTGTCTAATAAAATGTAATATTCCTATACATAGTGCAGTCACAAAGTATATAATTCAATATAATAGTAAAGGTTTACCCAGTGTCCACAGGGTACTTCAAGATCAGTGTCAAAGTAAGCATAATCCCTGCTTCTAAGGACTTCGAGGAATAATCTGAAATAGCATAAGCACATGTACAGGCACATGGTTTACCTTTGAAAACAGGGAAATGGATGGATACAGGCTTATAAGTATTCAGTAAATGGGGAAATAATCAAACACAAAAACTATGTCATTTAGGAAAGTGTTGCAATGGCCTGAGTATCTGGGGAGGGTCCAAGTATCCCAGGAATTAAAAGGTCGTGGGTTTGAATCCTAACTCTGCCATTTGTCATTTTTGTTGCCTTAACTAAACTTCACTGAGTTTTTGTAAATATTAAAGCCTATATGCTGAAGTATCTGACACACAGTAAGTAATCAATGATAACAATAATAAAATTAAAGGTGAATTAAAGAGCATGTTAAAGTTAGAAATCACTTCTTTTACTATGCTTCATCTCATTTCATTTCCTAGATAAGAAAGCAGAAAAGCCAAATAACTTGTGTAAGATTTCAAGGTTGGAACTTAGTTGGACTCTTAAATACAGCCACAACACGTCCGATGCTTCATACACTGCAGTGTATTACAAAAAGCTGCTTGAGGAGAGTCAAAACTGGTTCATGTCATTGATGATTACAATGGAAAAGGTAGGTGATCTGTGAGTGGAAGGTCTAAGATTCCATCTAGTGGCACGAGGGGTGGGGTGAGAATATACAGCAACTAGATGAAGGTCTAACATGGAATGCACTCTGATATCTTGAACTCAGTGCTAGTGACTCTCACAGAAGAAAGAATTTAAAATAACCAGAACTTGGGACTTCCATATAATAGATGAAGTAATATCATAAATAACAAAGCCAAGCAAAGATTTCTAATTGGTCATCAGTTTATGTCATTTTGTTTCTTAGTTGCTAATAATAGAGACATCTTGAAACACATACATTGAAATTCTATAAGTTGGACTCTGTTTAATTGTCCTCAGCCACGAACTTGACATTGCTGTGTACCCATGGGTGAGATGTGATTTAGGTATGAAAGGAAAAGGAGGAAATCAGGGTTGGGTTTACTATCTGTAAGAAAATGAAAATTGAGCAATATTCAGTTGTGACTTTAGCAACAGTGCATAGAGATCGGTCTTCACTGATTAAGATTCAAGAAAGGGAAACAGAGTTTGATTAAGAATGTGGCCAGAAGCCCTTGTGTTCTGCTCAGAGAGAGATGATGTTATAAAATGGTACAAAGACTGATATTTGGAAATATAATTAATTACCTATTCCACATTTCTGAGTTGATTCACTGTTTCCAGAACATACATTGTCATGCGTTGCATTGCCTTTCCGAATGAGTGGGAGACCAAATACACTGCAATTTGTATGTTTTCTACAGGGTGCTTTAGATGATGTCTCATTTGAGAAGAACCCATCTGGACATCGTCTGCAAACTGTATTTCGCTCCGGGGTTCCTACAGAAAATACCAAGCATTTAGGACCTTCTCAAATACTTTCACAGCAGATACCCTCTTAATACAATTTCAGAAAAAGAATTTTCACTTGGTTTTTACTGCTACTATTATGATGCACAGAACTTGAGGCATTTTTATTTTTCACTTTGTCAGACAGAGAGAACAAAACTTCACAGTCTTCCCCTTCGGCAGTCTTCTCTCCTTGTAATACAAACGCAAGTCTGTTTAGTTGTTGCCTTACAGAACTCTTGTTCATGAAATGCAAGAGGAAAGGAAGAAGGTGGAGTGTTCATTAATCCTGCCTCTGCTGAAGTGGCAGGAAGATCTTGTCAACTATTGTCTTCATGCAATTATTCTTGAAAAATCACAAAGACAATAGTCGTGTGTCTGCTACACTGTTCTTTGAAATCGTTCAACCTATTGAATGTCATATCATTAAATTCCAATTGCTTCCTACCAAAGTTCCTCCTTTTCTGAATCCTAATTGAGAAACAACTCATAAATATGCTAACCTTGAGAAGTAAAAATTTATAACAGTATAATAAACTTTTGAAGGTGGCAATAAAGTTAGCTGCTGGCGCAAAACCTTAAACCTGCAGATAAGTGACATAGTAAACAGAAGATGATATACAGTTTGCTTAAACCGTTGAGTTTTAACGGTCTTCAAAATTTCAGGAAGGGTGACTGCAAGGGCATATTATTTCATGATGGAAAGATATTTGATAAATTTGAAAAGATTATCAGTAAAAAAACATGAGCCAGTCAACAACTAAAGATGCTATTAAAAAATATCTTCAAATACTTGACTCTATTATGCATGGCCAGATCATATATTACAGTGTATTTGCATATGAAAATATCTCCATCTAGTGTAAGCTCTTTGAACAGACTTAGATTTCGATATTCAAATTTTAGATTTTATAGGCCAGTTCTGGCTTATGCCAGATAGCTGATATAAAAGAGACAAATGAAAGCTACGGAAAGTTATTAAACCTCATTTATTAAAAATGTAGCCTCCTACCATATTGCATTTTTTACCAAAACCAGAAAAAAAAAAAAGATGGGGGGAGCACAAAGTATTGTTCTAGCTTCATCTCCTGTCTCTCTCTCTTTTTTATTTTTCCCTAAAGGGATTGATGTCTCATTGCCCTATAAAAATGACAAAAGACTGGCAGAAAAAAAGAGGAGGAAGGGAGATCTACAGATGGGAAATCCTGAAATGTTCACTCACGTATTGTTTGTAAAAATGCAGCAAATGCAGCAAAAAGACTCGTTTATTTTTAAATTTATTTAATATTTTCTTGCTACACTCCCGTCTTTAAGTGGGATCCGACTCCATGCCAAATTCTCATTTCTGTAGTACTGGGGCATGGATTCCATGCATTCTTTCATTGTTAATTGACTGGGAACAACTTGGAAACCTGGGCCCAATGTCTGTTTGCCAGTCGCCATATGTTTGACACAGAAGAATCTTGTGGACTCTCCAGACACATACTTGTAGCTTGGGTCTTTATATGGGCATCTTAATGAGAAGTTCCATCATGTATTCAGATGTGTTATCTATTAATCTTTATGAATAGAATTTCCTTCTTTATAATGGTAGAATTTGAGTTTTCTAAAATATAGATTTTTGCCATAGGGTGCATGCTCTTGTTGGAGAGAAACAGAGAGGGGAAGTAAGAAATCACCTCCCAACACCAGGCTTGGGGGAGTCGGTGGAATGGCCAAGCTGCAATCCCTTCTCCATTTTCCTCTCAGGATTTTGGGCTTGCACACACATATTTTCAGCATGTTTTTTAAGCAAGGTCTGGGACCTGACATGTTCATTTGGTCATGTGAGATCCAGTTGCCTTAACCACCATGCCACTGGTTGCCTGGGTAGACCTTTTATTATTATTATTTTAATTGCTAGAGACAGACACAGGGAGAGAGGGAGGACACAACTTTCAAAGGTGTGGTGATGGGACAATTCCTTTTCCTCCATTTCTCCATCTTGTTGGAATATGGGGCACATATACCTATGCCCAGAATATTTTGCAAGTCACTAGGACCAGGATTTGAACTATGGTCAGTAATTTGAGATTCAGCTCCCTTAACCAATGTGGGGGAGGGCAAGAAAAAAAAAAAAGATGGGGGGAGCACAAAGTATTGTTCTAGCTTCATCTCCTGTCTCTCTCTCTTTTTTATTTTTCCCTAAAGGGATTGATGTCTCATTGCCCTATAAAAATGACAAAAGACTGGCAGAAAAAAAGAGGAGGAAGGGAGATCTACAGATGGGAAATCCTGAAATGTTCACTCACGTATTGTTTGTAAAAATGCAGCAAATGCAGCAAAAAGACTCGTTTATTTTTAAATTTATTTAATATTTTCTTGCTACACTCCCGTCTTTAAGTGGGATCCGACTCCATGCCAAATTCTCATTTCTGTAGTACTGGGGCATGGATTCCATGCATTCTTTCATTGTTAATTGACTGGGAACAACTTGGAAACCTGGGCCCAATGTCTGTTTGCCAGTCGCCATATGTTTGACACAGAAGAATCTTGTGGACTCTCCAGACACATACTTGTAGCTTGGGTCTTTATATGGGCATCTTAATGAGAAGTTCCATCATGTATTCAGATGTGTTATCTATTAATCTTTATGAATAGAATTTCCTTCTTTATAATGGTAGAATTTGAGTTTTCTAAAATATAGATTTTTGCCATAGGGTGCATGCTCTTGTTGGAGAGAAACAGAGAGGGGAAGTAAGAAATCACCTCCCAACACCAGGCTTGGGGGAGTCGGTGGAATGGCCAAGCTGCAATCCCTTCTCCATTTTCCTCTCAGGATTTTGGGCTTGCACACACATATTTTCAGCATGTTTTTTAAGCAAGGTCTGGGACCTGACATGTTCATTTGGTCATGTGAGATCCAGTTGCCTTAACCACCATGCCACTGGTTGCCTGGGTAGACCTTTTATTATTATTATTTTAATTGCTAGAGACAGACACAGGGAGAGAGGGAGGACACAACTTTCAAAGGTGTGGTGATGGGACAATTCCTTTTCCTCCATTTCTCCATCTTGTTGGAATATGGGGCACATATACCTATGCCCAGAATATTTTGCAAGTCACTAGGACCAGGATTTGAACTATGGTCAGTAATTTGAGATTCAGCTCCCTTAACCAATGTGGGGGAGGGCAAGCAGGGAGAATATTTTATAAAAAATAAGATTTATCCATCTAAGTAAGATTTTGCCTTATTATCTGTGGAAATATAAATACTGTTAACTTTGCAGCCAAAATATGACATATCATTATGATGAGAGGAGTTTGGCTTTACCATTGACAATTTACCAGGCTGTCCATAGGTAATTCCAAAAAATTATAGGGCCAATGACAGAGAATAAAATAAATAAATATGGAGAGGAAATGATCTAACTTCAAAAGAAAAGAAACAAAAAAGGAATGGCTATTAAATACTATTCAGAGTAGCCATGCATGGTTCTTCCTTGTCCTGGGGCTGGAAACCTTCTTTTCCGTGAGGAAATATTGGGTGGATTTTTTGGCAGGGAGAGGTAAACAAACCCCACTGTGGGGCCACGGAATAAAACGTGTGCCTTTGTCCTCCATCTTCTGGCTGCTTTTTACTTTATTCTACAAACAAATTTTCATGCTTAAGTGGGGAAAGATCCTTGTGAATTTCATTTTTTTTCCAAATCTTCTCTTTTCCAACCTGTATAGTCCCTGCATAATTAATTTTTCTGCATATATAACTTACCAAATGGAATGAAGTGGATTCGTTTTTGTTGAATGAGCTGTTTCCCTCTACATATTGACTTAGTTTTGAGCCCCCACATAAAACTCAATAAAAAGTAGAAAATGGCTCTAATTCCTGGCTGAAATACGTACACTGGAGGCATTTTAAAGGTCTCTCAGGCAATTTTCACCTTTAAGATGAATTTTCTAAGATGTGCTTTTTTAGGAAATGAAAACAGTATCAATTGTGAATACATCCCTTTCATATGCCTATATGCCTAAACTATTTGTCATCTAATAATTTAGACGTTATATATCATGACTCTTGAAAGTTAAAATAATTACAAATAATTAGCATTTTCTAAGCTACTAGTTCTCAGTCAAGGGTAATTTTGCCAGCAAGAGGAATCTGATGATATCTGGAGATGTTTCGGGTTGTCACACTGTGGGAGGACAGCTACTGGCTTCTGGAGACCAGAGATGCTGCTGAACACTGCAATGCACAGGACAGTTGCCCATAAGAAACAATCATCTAGCTCCAAATGTTGATAGTTCTGAAGTTGAAAAACACTGCTTCAAACTGAATGATCAGAATCTGTATTGATTACTACTTCTTCCAGCTAAGGAAATGAATACTCTTGATTTTCCTCCGCTTTGAGAAGTTACAGTCTACACAGAAGCTTTGTGAATGCAGTAGGAAAAAGAAAAACAAAAACTGTGAGTTCTACCTTTAAAAGATTCAACGCACACTGGCCCTAACCTATACTGTTCAAGATGCAAAAAGAGAAAGCACTTTGTTTATAGACAAGTGCTTACTCTTGGCTTGACGGTCTGTTTTGTCCAAGATAAAGAACAAGCTCCTTGAAGAGCTGCTGCTACAGTCTATCCTCTGAGACACTCCACTCCCATGCTAAAGGAAGAACTAGCTTCATTTTTAATAATGAAATGCATTTCCCTCACCATTCTCATTTTTTACATAATTAATTATAACTGCCCATTGTTAGCACTCCAGAGCCTCATTAATATCAGCATAATTACCCTCTTGATATCAATTAACATTTCTGATGTTTGTCAAAAAGCACCGCAGTTTGAAGCTGTCCATGCTAACATGAAACACAGAGGTATATATCAACTATTAACAGTGCAACTCGGAGTCTGTTCCTTTAAAAAAGAGCAATCCATCATGCATCTCATTAGAGAGCAATTTGCTGCATTGGAGATTTGTCACTAAATTGCCCTGCAGTGGTAAAGTATACCTCTGAGAAATGGTCCTTTGGAAGCAATCCAGACACACAGTACATACCTAGCAGGTCCCATTGCCTTTGCAATGGACTATCCTATAATGTCATCAGGTCAAAGCATTCCCCTAAAACTTCACTAGTATCGGACTTGGCACAATCCTAACTTTGCCATTTGATGCGAACTGACACATACCAGCTTGTACCACTCCAAATCCGGGGGGGCAGCTTCTGTGCTTCATGCAGAATTCTACCTCGAGGTAGCGCCCTTCCTGGCATTCGCACACTCGGTTGTGGGTGCGATTACACTCCTGCTTGACATACTGCAGCTCCTTACACACTGGGGTGCAGTATAGACACTCATCACTGGTGTGCCAGCTGTCGGTGTAGTAATGGTCAGGGCAGGGGACACACACAGTCTTCCACCTTGTTGTACAGTGCTGCTTCAGGTAGGTGCCAGGAGGACATTTGTCACACATCAGCTGACGTGAAGTTTCTGGGTCATAATGAAGGTACTTTGGAGGAAAGGTTTCCTGGGTAGTCCATTTAATGGAGATGTCCAGGAACTACAAGAAAAAGAAAAAAAAAATAGTGGCATTTTAGTATGAGAACAGTGTTATTCTGGGTAAGGGCATCATTAGATTAGAGTTCCTTCCACCTAATGCTTACTCCTGTCTATTGAGGTACACCATAGAGTACGTGCAGAACCCATAATTTGTCCCTCGAGAAACTTCATCTCAAAGACCAAGAATATGAATAGCAGAAAACATATTAAGAAAAATCCAAGTTGAAATGGCTCAAGTATAATCCTTAGCAGAACAGAAATTATTACACTTAGTAGCTGCACCACTGAATAAACATGTGACCTCAAAGATATTTTATCTCTCTGAGTTTCAGAATTCTCTTTAGATTAATGAGTTAGATGAAATGGTGGTTTTCAGAACAGCTACACCCAAATCATCTGGATTTCTTGTTTAAAATGTAGATTCCCAGGATTCATACCTCTAAGCATTGTAATTCTACCTATGTAGGTTGAGCCTGGGGACTTAAAAAAAAAATTCCTGCAGTGATTATGATGTCTAGAGGATACACTAAATAATAATTATTTTATTATTCATTTGACTCACAGTTATTAGCCCTTAATATGTGCCAGGATCTGTTCTGAGCACCTGGAGTATAGTCTACAATAAAATAGGCAAGAGATTCTGTTCATAATCCAACTATAGAGGCAAGAAAATAAATATACAATGAATAAATTATATGTAAGAAGGTAAGAATTGTAAAAAAAAAAAATGAACAAGTAAAGTAGATTGGAAATACAGAGGGGAAAGTAAGAGGATTACAATTTCTAAATGTGATGGTCACAATGACCATATTAAAACTAGGTATCTCTTTTAGTTTTCCCATGCTAAGATGATATGGTTCCAAACAAATAATGAAGAGGTGGTGATATGTTGAAATGTAATCAACATCAGCATCCGTTCCTATCATTAATTATTCATAGAATAGTATGTCCAGAGTGCCTACTGGGAGTCAAGCCCCAGGAACCTGCTGGGGAATTGGATACAATCCTTGTCCCCATAAACTTGCAATCCACTGAAAAGATTTCTAGAATTTTAAGGCTGACATTTTCTCTGAAGATCACATGGACCAGTCTTCACTCTCATAAGTGAATGATGTCTAGAAAATGAAAAGGTCACCTCTTTTCAAGTTAAGTGGGAAAGTTTTCAGGAGCAGTCAGGGTTTCAGAAGTTCATGCATGATAGGCAGAGATCTGGACAGCAAGAAAAAGAGGATTTCCGGTCAAGGGACTGCTTGGGAGGATAGTTTCAAGTAGGCATCTGTCTTGTATCTAGATTCCCAAAAGTCTTGTAGGGAGCATTGAAGCTGTTTTTCCACTAATTACAGAAAACACACTCAGAAGAAACAGTGTTATTTGTATGTAGTGGGTGGTTTGTTTGGTTTTTATTATTTGTTTTTGGTACAGAGATCAACACTGACTATTTTCAGGTTTTGGGCAAGTGTCAAACCAAACACAATATTTTTTCCTAAATTCTCTTCTTTGTAGGACTCAGGAAATTTCACAGAAACCCTTTGACCTAGGAAAAGCATGCCAAGCTAGGAAAACAGCATGCCCTTTTGAATTAGGGATAGCAAAGGTGACAAATAGCTTTATTCATAAGCATTTAGGCATTTTACTCAAAGTAACTTTATTAATTTTTTACTGAGACATGGCAAGGATATTAGACTGATTAGATCGACTATGAGCTGGAAACCCAAAAGAAACGAACAAAATACTGTATTCACAGATGTGGACCTTTTAACAAAGAACAAATTTCAAAGAGATAGTTGCTACATAGGGGACTCTCAATCAACAGTGATCTTTCCAAGATATCTTCTTAATCTAAGGGCTTTTAAGGACCATATTCTTGAATTTCCCTGGGATTTTTATTGGCTCAGATGGGGTGGTTGATGTTAGATAAAAGAAATGGACCAGCAGCAGATGGAAGTTCCAGTTTGGTCTAGATATTTCAGAAATAGATGGAATCTATTTATTCATTCAGTGCACATTTATAGAGCATCCACTATGTATCAGACATTGTAGAAAGAACTTAGCATGTGGTGGTGCATAAAACAGAAATGGTCCAGCCTTTAAGGAGTTCAATTTAGTGAGGAGGCAGATGGCAATAAGTGAAGAAGTAATTATAGCGCATAATTACAAATAATGATGAATGTAATGAAAGAAACAAAGTGAGCTGAAAAGACTGATTTGGTTTCTGGTTGGTTATTTGGATATACCATGGGACATCTTATAAGCCTTTGTGTGTGGGTTTAGTCCAAGTCTTTGTAAAATTGGGGGCTGGATGGTGGCGCAAGGTAATATGAGATGCTTTCTGAGGCTGGATCACATGGGAATGTTCCTAGTTTACATCTGGAGACCTTCCTGAGTACATTGGGCAAATGCATGCCCATTGTCTGGGGCTAGCTGAAGCTGGGATGTATTGTGGCATCAGGACCCTCTTGTGATCTAGCCCTCTCTCAATCTCTCTCTCTGTCTTTCTCACTTGTTGTAAGGTGGTTAAGGCAGCTGGATCTCATATGGTCGACTGCCTGATTTGAGTCCCAGAGCCAGTGGCTTGGAAAACACATCAGGCACATGTGTGTATGTGCCCAAAATCCTGAGAGGAAAACTGAACAGAGGGATTATGGTATGGCCATCTCCCCTGCGTGGGGTACTTTCTCACTTTCCCTCTCTCCATCTCTGTCTCTAGCAAGTGCATGCACTCTATAACAAAATCAAATAAATAGAACAAAAACAAAAAAAATTAAAAAAAAAATTCTAAGTCCTCAATGTTATCAATGAGGTTTTCCTGTTTCAACTTGAAAGCCACAAGAAGAACTTTGCTCTTTTGCTGGTCACTTTCAATTTCCTGGAAAGCCACTTTTGAGGATTCTGTTTGCTTTTCAGAGACCTGGCTCAGAGATCTAGAGGACTCCTTTGTCCTGAGTGCTATTGCAATGTGAGCCACATCCTGAGGGGAAGGACTCTTGAGATTCCTCCCAACTGGACTTCTCATTGTCTCCCTTTTTCTGTTTCCTTATGGCCCAGCCACACCCATGTGTCCATCAGTGCTCTTTTCTTCTTTACCAAAAAGTGATGAGGATGTGGCTATGTTCTTCACCAGAAGGAGCCACATAAAGAAAAATATAACCAAGAATGCTGATGCAATTTGTATTTTTAGAGGTAGCAGCATGATGTTGTTGGTTTCCTGAAAGCCATGTTTTAGAAGTCAATGACCATTTCTTTAAGTTACAGAGAAGATGGAGTGAAAAGAATTCACAAAGAAAAATAAAAAAATAAAGTCTATTTAAGGATTAAAGAGTAGTTATATTAATGAAGGTAATTTCTCCAAGGCTACCACATGGAATATCATATATGTGTTTAAAATCAGAAAGCCTTGAGGAACTATATAGGCTTGTCTTCAGCATGTTCAACTGGGCTTCTGTGTTTTATTTGAAAATTTTCCACTTTGGTAAAAGGAAAGAACTCTCTGTGGCCAAAGTTGGATGTTTAGGTCTCAATCTTCGGTTAGCCCCAATTCCCACACAGAATTTCTGGAATCAGCTACTGGACAGAGGATGGGCAAGATTAATAAAGCTCTTCATCTTAGTCCTTTCTCTTACATAGCTCCTCTCCTGGAAAAGCAATGAAAAAGATGCCATAGGACAGATATCTTAACATTGGCTATAGCTTCTGTGCTAGCTGATAATATTTAACACTCAGAGTTTAAAAATGAATTTCTGGGCCCAGTCACAGTGGCACAGACAGTAAGGGACAGCTATGTGATGCATGGAACATCCTGGCACACTCACAATCCTGCTGGCTGGAGAGCTGGGAGGAGGATTGTGCATGGTGAGACTCTCTCAAGAAGACCTGTCTCTTTCTGGTCCTCTCCCCACCCCCCTAAGAAATAAACCTCTGAAAAAGAGGAAAAACCCCTTTCTGCCTTACTGCCATGGCATCTGGGAAAAAGCTTGTGGCAAAGGGGAGGCAAAGAAAAAGAAGCAGGTTCTAAAGCTTACCCTTGACTGCACCCACCCTGTAGAAGATGGAATCATGGATGCTGCCAACTTTGAGCAATTTCTCCAAGAGAGAATCAAAGTGAATGGAAAAGCTGGGAACCTTGGTGGAGGGGTTGTAATCATTGAAAGGAGCAGGATCACCATAACTTCCGAGGTGGCTTTTTCTAAAACATATTTGAAATAGCTCACCAAAAAACATTTGAAGACAAATAATCTACATGATTGCTTGAGTGTAGTTGCTAACAGCAAAGAGAGTTACGAATTATGTTACTTCCAGATTAACCAGGATGTAGAAGAGGAGGAAGATGAGGATTAAAACTCATTTATCTGGGGGACCAGCAGTTAGTATAATGGCTAAGTTGCTGGACTCTCACGTAGTCAACAGCAGTTCAAGTCCCGGACCCAGTGGCTTAAAACTCACGCCAAGCGCGAGGGCCCCAAGATCCCAAGAGGAGAATGGAGGAGAAGGAACTGCGGCATGGCCATCCTCCCTGGGGGGTGATTTCTCGCTTTCTGTCTCTCTCTCTCTGTCTGTCTGGTGAGTGCATGTGCCCAAAAACTTCTCAAAAAAAAAAAAAAAAAAAACCAACCTCATTTATCTGGAATATTCTGTATGAGTTTTTGAATAAAACTTGAGACCAAAGGAAAAAAAAGAAAGAAAAAAGGAAAGAAAAAGAGAAAAAAAAGTGCATTTCTGTGTAAAATGTAGTCCCCAAATAGAACTGAAGAAAATCTGCAAAAGTTAGGAGACATGTATGGTCGTCAGCAGAAACATAAAGTACTTCCTGAAGAAGAAGCCACTCTGTTTTTGTGCTTTTATGTTTGACTTTTAAGAAAGGACAAAATGAAATTTTCTTTGTATTTTTTCCTTCATCTTCCTCCCATTCTCTGTTTACCCACAATCTACTATAGAACACTAGTGCTTTCAGGGACTCTAGAAGTCCTCCAATCTTTTGACTGTTCTAGGCTTATTTTCCCCCTG